GAACCAAGAGCAAAGAAAGGCCGACGTAATCAAAGTGTGGAACCCAAAAAGGAAGTAAGTTGCTCACGTTGCAGTGTCCAGGTGGCAGTTGAAAGAGGAAATGTTCGCAAAGTACTGTCAAGACAGTCCCTCCTGGTGGGTACATGGGAAACTCAGGTGCCATCAGTCAAAGCACATCCGTCGAGCCTGCCCTCAGTCTTCTGACTCCTGTCATTGTCTCCTGCCACTAGACTGCATGCACAGGCTCACACTTTCTATCCTGAGGAAGCAACCACTGAACAGAGTTGAAGTGGGAAGGGCACATGGCTGGGTACCTGATATTCTGTCATAGCATTATTAAAAGTCAAAGCATTTGTCTGATAAATCAATTATGCTAGCACTTAAAAACTGGAGGAGACTATGGTTAAGCTTAACCCTTTTGAACTGTTTAAACCAGGCATGTTTTAAAACTGTAAATCTGGGTACATTCTAAATGCATAAGCAGTAAGAAGTGGTTTAGGATTTTAGGAAATTTGCTAATCTAGTCCAAAGAAGTGATTAAAAATTGATAATGATTTTTGCATTCTGACAAAATTTAAGAGCAAACCTATACTATTTATATGTAATGAAATTATAAATGAGGTTGTTCATATTAGTGTAACCATTCCCTATTTTTTCATTCATTAGCTGATTTGCGGGGATTTATTTATTTTAAGCTGTGATATGATATATAACAAAAGAACATCTTAATTACATGTTTTTAAACAGCAGGCTATTAAGTACACAGATAGATAGAACTGCAATTTTATCCTAATAAAGTTGTTCTTGATCTAGTAAAGTGTCTTGCTCTGTTTTGCACCTAACCACTTTTCTTCCCCTTTAGGAACCAGAGCCTGAAACGGAAGCAGTGAGTTCTAGCCAGGAAATCCCCACAATGCCTCAGCCAATCGAGAAGGTGTCAGTATCAACACAGACTAAGAAGTTAAGTGCCTCTTCCCCTAGAATGCTGCACCGGAGCACCCAGACCACCAGCGATGGGGTCTGTCAGAGCATGTGCCATGACAAGTACACCAAAATTTTCAATGACTTTAAAGACAGGATGAAATCGGACCACAAGCGAGAGACAGAGAGAGTTGTCCGTGAAGCTCTGGAAAAGGTAAAGCTGGTCCCAGCTACTGCCATCCCCCATACTTGGACCTTGCTTCCCCACAGTACTGGCTACTGTGACTTACCCTCCACCACGCAGTGGCCTTTCTAAATTAGGAGTACAGGGGCCAGGGATTTAGCTCAGTGGTTCCAGCGCCTGTCTCGCAAGCGCAAGGACCCGAGTTCGAGCCCCAGTACCAAAAAAAAAAAAAATTAGGAGTACAATAATTAGTATTATAGTCATTTAATTCGTTACACGTTTCTTGCCAAAATTCTTTGTGCATCTTATTGAAGGGGGAAAGGTGCATCATTTTAGTAGAAACTGTTGTTAAGTTTTGTTGAAGTGAATGGACGTGTAAAGCACTGTGGTTAACTTCTTTTCCTTCCAGCTGCGTTCTGAAATGGAAGAAGAAAAAAGACAGGCTGTAAATAAAGCTGTAGCAAACATGCAGGGTGAGATGGACAGAAAATGTAAGCAAGTAAAGGAAAAGTGTAAAGAAGAATTTGTAGAAGAAATCAAGAAGCTAGCCACCCAGCACAAACAATTAATATCTCAGACCAAGAAGAAGCAGTGGGTAAATATCACTCTTTTTTTTTAGAATTTTATTTCTGATATCAGGTCTGATAGAAATCAATGCAAAAAGATATATGTGGGATATGTTAAAATTATTCTTAAAATAAGGGCAACTGTGAAACTGTCAACTATTTTAAATTGTTTATTAAAAGTCCTACTCTCAATCACAGATCCCATATCACTGAGTATTGCTCTCAATTATTTTGTAAAGATAAGCTAGTACTTCAGTACATTATAATTAATTGATACAACTTCTCCATCTATGCAAATACCTTGCTGGGCAAATTGGCCTCAACTTTTACCTGGTGACTTCCAATAAGTAAAATCCAAATTGTGAAATTATAAATATAAGTATCATGATAATAAATTTTCAGATTTTGTTCCCCCTAACATATACATATATTCCTTTAAAGAAATCAGTAACTTTTATAATAATAATACCTCCTTGATCTCTACATTCTCTTAAACCTTACTAAAAGTGTCATTTGTAAATGTTGTTCTCCCTTTAGGGTGGAAGCTCCTGAACACACAAGAGCCATGTGCTCTTCTTACAGCCCCACAACACTCAGTGATCTGTTTCTGTATTTGTGTAAGGGTGCACCCAAGAGCTCAACATGGCTCCAATTTTAATTCTTTTCTGTGTAACATTTTACAGCAATTTTATTCTTCATTTTATTCAGCTACAGTACATTTATACTTTTCATAAAAAAAGAAAACATTTTTAAAAATTTTATAAAGATTTGGGCTGGGTGTGGTAGCACATGCCTATAATCCCAGTTACTTGGGAGGCTGGGGCAGGAAAATCACAAGTTAGAGGCTAAGGAGGGCAACTTAGCCAGACTCTGTCTTAAAGTAAAATAAGAGATGAGGGTGTTGCTCAGTGGTAGAGCATTTGCCTACCATGCTCTAGGCCCTGGGTTCATTTCCTGACACACCAAATTAGAAAGGCAGGTCATAAGGCAAAGGCAAATTGAGCATATAATTTAGATGACTAAATAGAGAGAACTTAGTGAAGTAAGCATTGCTAGAGAGGGAATTACGGTGCACCCAAGGTAACAGGCACTGAAGACCTAAGGGTCACGTGTGTGATGACTCTACTTGCATGCAGACACAAAGCTAGAATGTGGGCACCAGGCGTATGAGAAGACATCCCCTTAAGTTTATAAAAGAACCAAAGGAAATGGGAAGAGGAGGCTATAGTAACTACAATACTGCTTTCTATAGCACTTTTACCAACTGTGATACAGCTAATGTTGGTGTATTTTACACCCATTTTTTTTCATGAGGCATTTGAAGCTTATGACATTAAACAGAATGATTAAAAACCTAGTTAGCAGAGCTGGGGCTCCAGAGCCCAAGCATTTCTCTTCATCAGATTGTATCTTGTATTATTGTAAGAAATAGAACACAGTTGGACAGAAAGCATATGAGTATGCCAGATGCGACCAAATGGGTGTTAAGATGCGACGTGTAAAACATGGCAAGAAAGATGTATCTACAGAGAAAGAAATGGATGCAAAACAACTAAAGCAAATAATAGGACACTTGGGGTAGGAGAAGGGATGGTGCTGCTTAAAGTATTTTCAAAACAGGAGGAAACTGAGAAGTTAAATAAACAATCTATTTGACCAGTTTGTGGCACAGGCCTATGATTCTAATCCCAAACCATCTGATTCATCCAAGCTATTTCCAAAATGAAACATGTTCTCTCTACTGTTCTAACAGTAATTGGCTTTGCTGTCATAACAAGATCACAAAAGAATTTAAAACATTAATTTTAACCCATAACAAAGCATAAAATACACAGGCAAGAAAAAAATTAGAGGGTAGAATTCTTACAGACCAATGTAGGCTGTTCTCCCTGGGTCCGGCCCCAGGACCCTCAGCATCTTTGAGAGCTTCATCTGTGTCTGTTGTCTCATACACACAGGGCCAAGTCTATCTGGAGAACTTCTATTACTGGCCCACTGTGAAGTGTTAGTGACCACAGCTCAGGCTCTCGTCTTCTTGCCAGGGATGTCTCTTCATGCATGATATGACCATTAGTTTACCAGCCCAACTGGAAACTTTAGGTTTTAGTTTCTTCACTGGTTTTTTTTCTTCCATGTCCAAACCACCCAGCCTCAGTGCCATGAACATTTGGACCGTGACATTACTGGGGAGTGGGGGCTGTACACTTCGGAGTGCTTAGCAGTGTCAGTGGGAACAGCCCTGCAGAGAGGACCAGAAGCTGCACAGTGCCAGGGAAGCATGAGTTGGTCAGCACCAGTCACATGCTGTGGGCCCAGGCATCACCACTGTGTCCTTTCCTTCTGCTGCTCAGTGCACAAAACACATGCCAAGTCAAATGTTCCAGGCATGTTAGTTTGAGCCCAAAAGAGCTGTGAAAACACAGTGACAAAGGTATACAGTGTTAAGTGGTGTCTACACGTTGGCCCATCTCACAAAGTGCGCCTTGCTCCCTGTCCACAGTGCTACAACTGTGAGGAGGAGGCCATGTACCACTGTTGCTGGAACACGTCCTACTGCTCCATCAAGTGCCAGCAGGAGCACTGGCACGCGGAGCACAAGCGCACCTGCCGCCGGAAAAGATGAAGCAGGCTCCACGTCGCCCGCCCGACGAGTACGCCTCAGACACAGCGGTTTTTGTTTCCAAGAAGCCAAAATTGTTTAGAATTTGCTTCCCATTTTGCACCAGCCTTTAAACACTTTTCGTGAAGAAATTTTGCACAGTAGTTTAAATCTTTTGTTAATGCTCCTCTGGAGTTTTTCAGGGGGTAAAAAGTAACATCAGTGGAGGGTATTATTTTAAATAAATTTTAATTGAGAATTTGTTGCATTTTCAGCAAATTTTAAAACATTTTTAGGTTTTACAGAGATTTTAACCTTTAAACAACAGATCTTTAAAAAACAACAGGTGAATACAAGTGAGTTTAACAGAGAAACATTTAGAATAGATCTGAATGTAAGAACTACAGAACTGTTTCGGAATAAAACATACTACCTTGATGTGACGTTTCTTCCTTAACCTTGTTGAGCTGGTCTGGCTCAGCTTCATTCACTGTTCAAAGGCATTATCTGTTGGTCATGCCAGTGGGTATGTGACTGAATTTAGGGAACAGGGTTGACACAGCAGGGCTAATCCTGCGTATTTTTTCTTAAATATTTCCCAATTGTGTTTTTCATTATTTCTTTTCAATATATAACTTTTATAACAAATTATTAGCTTTGATCTTGTAGTTTAAAATTGCAGGGAACTGGGGTAACCTTTTACTGAGCTGGATCTTAGAGAAAATGAATATTTAAATTTTAAAGTTTGCACATTTCATCTTTGTCCTAATATGAGTGCTTGTAACAAAATAAACAACAAAAAATAAAAAGCCAAAAACTACCTTTATCCATATGTGAAATTATAGATGAGGCATACAAATTTCTTCAATGCTTCCCTCCCCTTCCCTTCCCAGTATCATCCTAACTGCCTATTATCTGGTGTCACTTCTTGTATGTAAGTTAATACTAAAAGGAAAGAAAGCACTTAAGTTTCACAGAAGCCGTTATGTTTGTAGTAATGGGTCATTGCCTACTAATGAACTCCATCACTGTACACAGAATGAAGAATAATGCATGTTAATTTTCTTGTATTAAAGATGCCGTGATTTGTAAAAAGTCTGTATTTTGAGGAATGTCTGGATTAAGAAGCATTACCAATAGGAATGGATCGATAGTTGACTAATGCTTTCTTTATACGTAGATATATAAAATACAACCAGGAAAACTTAAATTACTTTTCTTTAAAAATATCTCACAATTTATGTTGTTGGGTTTTTTGTTTTTTGGCAAAGACTGACCTTAGACCAAGTCAAATTCCCATTTATCATTTAGTTGTTTTTTGAGGTTAGAGAAAGAATTTGTAAATATTTATTTAGACCTTTGATATTTATTAAAGGAATTACTCTCAATGGAAGTGAAAGAATCAGGAGAAAAGCCTTTAAAAAAGTTTTCTCCAGGTTTGTCAGGGTCACTCTAAAGATGAAAGTGTAAGTCAGTCTTCTGTGAAACATCGTCCATCCAATCCCGATGCTGTCGCAGATGGAGGTGACACAAGTTAATTGACAAACTACTGCCAAATGGTGCGCACTCTTTTGTACATCCTGCCTGGCAGCCCCGTTCCCCACAGCTACCTACCAGGTTCCGCAGTGACTCGGTTCATCGCCCCTCCTCGCCGCTGCGCAACAGGCCCGGTCGCCGCGGTGCCGGGGCGCAGATGGAGGGTCATAACCAAGAACACTTAACCTTCTTTCATTGTTTTTCAAGTTTTAAAACTTCGATCCACCCCTATGAGAGCAAGTTATTGTGGAAATATTTTTGGTGTAAAATCATTCCAGAGTATGTAATATTTAACCGATAGCTGCATGACGGTGAGATTCGTGTTACTTTGGCTTTTTTGTCTCTGTTGACACGGTTGCACATTTCCAAGTTACTACAGCGTGAAAACTGTGTGTTTAAAAAAAAAAAAAAACAAAATTAAAAAAAGAGATTGTGGCCTGGTTTTGTAAAAGTTTTAGGTAAAATTACAATTGATTGTTTTAGGAATCATTATTAAAATTTTCTGCAATCATAAAGCTATATCAAGGTGTTGAGCTTAGCCACTATGCACATTGTAATTATTCATTGTGGCTGTCCAGTTCTATGATGCATTCTGGCATTTTGTAAGCTGCTCTGACTAGCAATATATAGATTCATTTAATGTGTTAACATTGGTTAATAAATGTATTTAAAAAACTGGCTTTGATAAATTGTTAATTTGGTCCAGTCCCCTCTTCCAAACTCAACACAACCCACCTAAATGTTGATCAGGTACTGTAGGTTATTCACTGGTGACTGTTCAGTGTCACATTCAGTCAGTGTGTTCTGTAATCCCAGGTACTCAAGAGGCTGAGGCGTGAATTTGAGGCTATCCCAAGCAATTTAGCAAGGCCTATCTCAAAAAAAAAAAAAAAAGAAAAGAAAAATCAGTGTTAAATATAGTTGGTTCACATAAACATTTAAATTGAATTTAAATTCACTAGTTCTCAAAAAGGAGAGGATCAATGTTGCATACTGATGACTATATCAGCCTCAAAAACTGATGCATTATTCACAACTGAAGAGATTCTTAACTGGAAAACCAGCCGACAGGTATCCTCAGCTGTTTTCATTTACTTGTTGTAAGGTTGCAGGCATTAGTTTACTGGTACTAAGTTTTAGTCCCAACATGAACCCACCTTCACTTCACCCTGTCTCTGGTTTTCCCCTTTGAAAATGCCCTGGAGATGTACGTATCAGAACTAGGGTCAGATATTTAGGATTGAGTCTTATGGTCCCATTACTGTGGGATTCTGAAGTTTCCAACAGCAAGATAGGCTATTCTCTTCACCTTCATTTTGTATGTTTTGCTGGATCCAGTTTACTAAGCAACAGACTACTGTTCCTCATTGAAAAGTCTCTTGGTTAAACACCAACTCTGATTCTAGATATTAAGCATTTTGTTCAAAATGGGTTTTTCAATCAAAAAAATTAGCAAGCAGGGCTGGGGATTTAGCTCAGTGGTTCTGCCACCTGCCTCGCAAGCACAAGGACCCGAGTTTGATCCCTGGTACCAAAAAACAAATTAGCAAGTAAAAGCCATATCTACCCAAGTGTTCCTAAAAAAAGTGATTGATCCAAGTGAAAAGAACGAGCCCTCTAAGAAGAGGTGGAGCAAGTGGAAGTGACACTGTCCCTTCTGTAAGGGGAAGACCAGATTGAATTAGTGCAATTAGGAGAGACTAATAAACAGCTTGCCATTTTCCAGTATTGAGCAAAATGACACAAAACAAAAACATGGAAATAGTATACTCGAATGGAAGCCATCTTGTTTTAAGGAAGGAAAAAATTAGCCATTACTATAGCAAAGCAATAGCTTTGTTCTGGCTACTCCAAGGCAGGATTGATCTAGTAGGTCAATTTAGGATGATTTAATCACTTGCCCAGACCTGCTCCAGCAGTGAGTGGCAGAGGTAGGTCTACAACTCAGGTTTCAGTTTAAAGCCTGTTTTTTCAACCCTTAATGCCAGGGTTGAATACATATACATATAAAATTGTACATAGAAAATTACCCAGTAAACATTTGAAGTTAGTCAATGTTATCAAGTTCAATGCGTCTGGAATCAAATCTGTCATCTTTCCTTACCTCATCACACATCTCCAGTCAGTCCCCACAGTGCCAGTCTCAGTTCTGACTACACTGCCATGCAGAAGTGATTTTGCCTTTTTCTTTGCCTGCACTTTCTAAGTTAGTATTTTACAACGTGACCTCAGGCTCACCTAGCGTGTTTATTAAAGCATTGCCAAGTTCCGCCCCCAGCATCTGCATTGCTAACAAGTTCCAGGAAAATAGAAGCAGTGGACCCTTTCCTGGAAAATGAACGTGTATATACATGTACAAGACAAACTGCATAAAATTCTATATATTCCTAAGGCCCAGAATTATTGTGATCCTCAGGTTAAGAATTCCTGACCCAGTGGTATTGGAGGAACAAAAACGGGTAGGGAGATGAAGGGAGTTAACTGTAATCTATAATGTAGATCACGACTCTCAAGCTTTCATGTGGCACAGAGCACCTGAGGACCTCGTTAACATGCAGAATGTGACTTGGTGGGGCTGGGGTGGCTAAGGCTGCTGATTCTGCCATTTCTCACAGACTCCCACGAGACACTGATTCTCTCGACTAGAGACCACACTTGAGAGACGGGTCTTCAAGCCGTGTAAATTCATGAACATTTAAGTACTACTGCACTAAATTATAAACCCCATTAAGCAGTGCAGTTTTAGGAAAACATACAATGTGAGGCATGTATATAATTACATTTTCCAACAGCCACATTAAACCATGAAAAGAAACAAGTGAAGTTCATATTGATATACCTTACTATATCCCAAGCATTACATTTCAATATATAAAAGTTATTGAGTTTACATTTTTGTGTTGTACTGTCTTCAAAATCCAGTGTCTTGGGCTGGGGATTTAGCTCAGTGGTGCCGTGCCTGCCTCGAAAGCACAAGGTCCTGAGTTCGATCTCTGGTCCCAACAAAACAAAACCCAGCGTCTTTTATACTCTCAGCACATCCCCATTCAGACTGGCCACCCTCATTCACATGTGGCCAGTGACTACCAGTATTGAACAGAGCATCATAAAAAGCTTTGTCTTGGGCAAGTACCAGCCCTATCAGCAACTTGTAGTAGATACACAGCAAATGTGTGCGTACACAGTACCTAGGAGCTGAAAGGAAATGATAAGTTCTTGCCAGAATTTGAGCCTCTCTGAGGGGAGGCTCTGGATCTGTATCAGTGTCAGATTTGAGAGCTCAGAAACTATCTGGTCAACCGCCTCTAATCTGGCATTTTCCTTGACAGCCCTGTAGAAGGCGCTACAGGGTCCCTTAAAAAAAGACCTGTTTGGTCCAAGTCTTTAACCTCATACTGCAGGGACCAGTGGAAACCCTGCAGGTGAAGGGAAGGTAAAGGTTCACTCTTTTCTTCTCAAGCTAGGCCTGAGAACTAAGATAATATATAAACCAGGTTAACAGAAGAAAAGCACTCAAGTTCTTCCTGACATTGGAGCTCCCACAAGGAATGCAGAGACAAACAGTTGATGAAATCTAAATGCTTTTATACTTCATTGAGCAAAGAGGCGAGTGTGGAAAAGGACCTCAGTTGTATGGAGAGGCTAAAGGAACAGGATAGTAAAAAAAAAAAAAAAAAAAAAACGGGGCCGGGGATTTAGCTCAGTGGTTCCGGCGCCTGCCTCGCAAGGTCAAGGTCCCGAGTTTGATCCCCGGTACCAAAAACAAAAAGAGGGGGGAAAAAAAAGATCTACTTGTATAAAATTCTATTGGCTGAGAGTCCCTACTGAAGAATGTTTCTTTTCTCTTAGGAAGGGGATTGTTCACATGGGAGTTTTTGTTCCCATTTTCAAGAGGAAAAGGGAGATTAGAATGCCCTTGGTGCATTTGCTGTTTTTCAAATGCCTTTGGCTCAGAATAATCTCATGGAAAGTAGCATATTTTGGGGTGCCATCGTCTGCCACTTTAAGGACATGATGCTAAGTAAGCAAGCCAGTCAGTCAGAGATAAATACTGTATGATTCCACTCAGAGGTGGTTCCTGTCATGCCTGGACTGAGTCCTTAACAAACAGGACAAAACAGGCTGCTTTCAGCAAAGAACAGGCTATTTCTCAGTAAACAGAAGACAGTCTTCCTGGTGCTGAGAAGTCCGGTGACTGTTTATACCTAGGCTGACTGACCTTAGACTCAATCATAAACATTTCACCACAGATTCCTTAGCCCCTTTAATACCTATATAAGCCTAATTCCTTTCCCAGTTAGCTGCTGATATCTCTCCCCTGATGTTAGCCCATCCACCCATAGAAGAAATCTCTCCCAGCTAGCTGCTGCTATTTCTCTCCAAATGACAGCCCATCCACACATGGATGTAATACACTCGGCTTTTCCCAGCTAGCTGCTAGAATCTGTCCCTGATTTTAGTCCCCAATTTTAGTTTCTGTTCACTGGAAAAAGCTTTTCTTTTCCTCAGAAAAAGCCTGTTGAAACGAGTGGAATCACGTGCGTTGTCTATAACCGCTCCTAAAGTTGTCACATTCCTCGATTAGAGTCCAAGAGTAGAACCACGGCTGCCAAAAGTTGAGGGAGGGGGCATAGGGAGTGGTACCAATAGACAGAAAATCTCAGTCATGGATGAAGAATAAGTTCTAGTGACCTGTGGTACAACACTGTCCTTGTACTTAACAATGTGGACTGTGCTGCTCACTTAAAAGTTTGTTAAGAGAATCCATATCAACTGTTCTCACCACAATAAAATAAAAAATAGGCAGAGAACATATAGGGGATATATGCAAAAGCATTAACAGAAATAAGTAAATAAATAAAGCTCACCATAAGCTATTACTTCAAATCCACTAGGATTGCTGTGCAGCTGTCCGGTGGGGGACAAGCCTCCCAGCCTTGCTTGGAACTGCAGCTAGTACTGAACCTTACATATACTATATTTTTTCCCATACATGCGACCCCATGATAAGGTTTAACTTATAAATTAGGCACAGTAGGAGGTTACCAACAATATCTATAATCAAATAGAACAATTGTGACAACATGCTACCATAAAAGCCACATGAAGGCGGTCTCTCTATGTCCTGTGCTGTACTCACCCTCGTGATGACGTGAGGCAATGTGATGCCCACGTGGAATCTCAGAGGTGGAAGATGACATTAGTGCTGTCAGCTGACTGCAGGTAATAAAAACCATGGGCGGAGAAACTGCAGATAATGGGAGACTGCAGTGACCAAAAAGGTAGATAACAGTAAGCACTGACAAGGACATGGAGTCCCCAGGAAGTAAAGCAGTATAGCCACTTTGGAAAACAGCTTGAGGTAAATACAGTGAGACCATGTGATCCAGCCAAGAGAATGAGAACACATGTCCCCACAAAAGCCTGGACACAGTGTTCACAGCAGCATTACTCAGAGGAGTCAAAGAGTGAGGCAGGAGTGGTGGAACATGTCTTCATTCCCAGCACCCTGGTCCAGCCTGGGCAACATGGAAACTACCAGGATTTTGTTTCAAAATAAATTAAATAAGGGCTGGAGGATGTTACTCACTGTGAAGACTCTGGATTCAGTTCCCAGTACTGAAAAAAAAAAAAAAGGAATCAAAGAAAATGGAAATATCCCAGAAATCTACCAGCTTATGAATGCATAAACAAAGTGTAGTATATACCCTATACAGTGGAATATTAAACTTTTTAAAAGAAATTTTGATCCACACTACATCATAGATTGCACATTGGAAACACTCTACATGAAAGAAGCCAGTCACAGAAGATGACATATGAAATATGATTCTACTTCCATGAAATTTCCAGAAGAAGCGAATCTGTAGGAATGAAAGACTAGTGGTCACCTGGGGCTGGGCATGTGGGCTGAGGTGGGAGGCTGGGGGTGACTGCTGGTGAGCTCAGGCTTCCTTTTCAAGGTAACAGAAGTGTTCTAGATTGTGACATTGGTTGCACACCTCCAAATATACTGAATATCATCTGCATACTTTAAATGGAGTTATATTGTAATAAAGCCATTTAACATCTTGTAAACCATATCCAATTGCATTTTGTTTAAAAATAATAACAAGTGACACCCAATGTTGAAAATTTAGGACTTTATCATGGTCTTTGAATAAAACATTCAGGTCTTGATTAAAACGGGGGAAGAAGGAGGGGGAGGTGAAGGAGGAGGAGAGACATAAAAGACATATGGCAGAAGCATTCCTGTTTTAACTTTCAAAAACATTGCATTTGAAATTCAAAAGCAAAACAAAACAATGAAAAAAATTATATTTGAACCTAAGGACAAAGGCACAGTGTCTGCAGACCATGCTAAGCACCTTGCACCAGCTGAGCCCAGAATTAAATGAATGTGTGGTAATACTAGCTCGAGGCAGCTCTATTGGGTCTGGTCCAACTTTGTGCTGTTCAACTCTGCCTCTTCAACCCAAATCAAAGGAGCTGATCTAAACTCTCCTCTGCAGCTCTGGGAACCACATGTGTCCCCAGCCCTGAGCCTATCTAAATGGTCTTTTAACTGGTTTTTGCTTTTTTCTAGCACCCAGCCTAGGTGCTATATTGAACTTTTCCTCCACGCATGAGCCCTCTACCTTTGGCTTCACAGAATTAGGATATGTTCCTCTTACCTGGCAGTAATGCTGGGCTGCGGTAGTGCAGTTCTCACTTGGTCTCCCAGAAAGATGTGAATTCCTTTAGGTCAGGAGCCACATGCCACGGGCTTTTGAATCTGACATTTAGTGGAGTGAAACTCAGAGGAAACTAAACCCCATCTCTAACTGAAGCGATCTAAAATTTTATTATACTCCCCCCTCTCTCCTTATCTGCAAAAGAATTCTGCTTGAGAGTCCCAGGAGAGAAGGGTTTTCTTCAAAGTAAATAACCAAGGGGGAGAGGTTTTTTTTTTCAGGGCTGTACCTCAGCCCAGGTTTGATCCCCAGCAACACACACACACACACACACACACACACACACACACACTCAGAGAGGAAAAAAGAGTAGCTATATTGATAAACGTTAAATGAAGCAAGAGATAAGAATGGAGTATGTAATACACTGCTTTCTGGGTTAGAATGAGACGGTGGTAAGAATATATATTGATAATTGACTTATATTCACATAAACAGTAAAACGATATTCCAGGACATAGTCCAAATACTTAACTGTTACGGGACAAGGGGACCAGGAGACTGAGGCGAAAGGACAAGATTGAAACTCAACTTCACAATGAATACTTCATGTAGTTTCCATATTTGGACCCTATAACTGAATTATGTTCTCACAACATTACATTTTGTAAAAAAAAAAAAAAAAAAAAAGATCTGGTTTTTCCTAACAGCCCCAGCAGTTTTCCCCTTTCTTAACTAT